GCCGCCGCCGTCCCCGCCGCCGCCCTCCCCGCCGCCGCCGTCGCCGCCGCCTCCATCGCCGCCGCCGCCGTCACCGCCGCCGCCCTCCGCCTCGCCGTCGCCGCCGCCGCCCTCCACGTCGCCGTCACCGCCGCCTCCGTCCGCCTCGCCGTCTCCGCCGCCGCCCTCCACGTCGCCGTCGCCGCCGCCTCCCACGCCGCCGCCACCTGCCCCTCCGCCGCCCACGCCGCCGCCGCCTTCCGCCTCGCCATTGCCGCCGCCGCCCACGTCGCCGCCGCCCTCGTCGCCTTCAGCTAACGCGAACCTGCAGTCTACGGACCCGCCGTGCTTCCCGAGCTCTGCGACGGTGCAGCTCGCCGACGGCGAGACCGTCCCCCTCTCCTCCCTCTCCGCCGGAGACTCGATCCTCGCCGCGGCGGCTGACGGTACGCTCGCTTTCAATGTCATATGAGAGGGGTGTCACTTGTTTGACTCGCTTGCTGACCAATACAGGCACCCTCGGCTTCGACGCTGCCTCCTCCTTCTCGCTGGCCGACCCGTCCGCCAAGGCGGCCTTCCTCTCGCTCGCCACCGCAACGGTGACGGTCACGCTCACCCCGACGCACAAGCTGCCCGCCGGCCCGGCAAAGGAGCTCAAGCAGGCGTCCGAGGTTGCCGTTGGCGAGATGATCTGGATCGCGTCGCCGGCCGCGGGCGCGCTCGTGCAGGCGCCGGTCTCTCCCGCGCCTTCTCCTCCCTTGCTAGCCCCCAACCCACCTCCTGACCTCTAGCCCCCCCCCACCACCACCACCACCCGTTCCCCCCCACAGGCGCCCGTCCTCAAGATAACCAAGGTCGTGGCCGACGGGCTGCACAGCCCGCTCACCATGCACGGCGGCTGGCCGGTCGTCGACGGCGTCGCGACTTCGTACAACAGCGCGGCCGTCGTCGCGCGCAACAAGTACCTCGTCCCGCTCGTCGAGGCGGTCTGCCCCTCCCTCGGCCGCCTCGTCGTCGCGTTTGCGAACCCCAAGACGATGCACTACATCGATGGCCAGGTGCCCTGCGCGAGCAATCCCTCCTCCCTCCCTCTCTTACTTGCACTCTCCGACTCGCTCTCTGTCTCTCTCGCTCCCGCTAGGTGGTCGAGCCCCTCTCCTCCCTCGCTGCGGCCGCCCTAGCGGCCGCTGCCTTTGCCGCGCGCGAGATGTTGGCGGGCAAGTGAAGCGGTCCTCCAGCTGAGGGAGGGTGAGAGGATGTAGAGTGTAGAGCACTGTAGAGCTGTAGAGATGCAGAGCGCGCTGAAGAGCGCTGGAGAGCTTGAGCACTTGATCGCGAGTGGAGCTCTACATCCGGCGTGAAGAGCGATGTGGAGCGGAGTGGCGCGATTTGCTGTGTTTTCACTGTGAGAGCAACGTGACCCTCCGTACGTTTTTCTCAACGTTTGAATGAATAAAACGGACACGCCAAGCGAGGGTGGGAGAAGGACAGGGTCCCCACCGGCACGAGCATGATCTTGAAGAAAGAAAAAAGAATTTTACAACAAAACTCCCTCGCACAACGGGACGAGGCACGGGACGAAAAAAGAAAACCGCGGGGAGTTTAGGAAATCGGAGGACGCGACCCACCTCGCCCCCGACGGTCCCGCGCCTCGCCGCTATGACGGCCACACGACCGCGGCTCGTGTGCGTGTGGCCGTCTTTGTCCGGAGTGAAAAGTCCAACGCGCTCGTCGGTGACGGTGTCCCTCAACCTGCGCCACGCTCGGCGAACCTCGACAGCGCCTTCGGTGGCATGCAGCTCTTTGCGCCTGAAGCTTGGAGAGAGCTCCTCTGCTGCTCACACGCTCTGCACAGATGGCAAAGCCTACTGTGCGGCTACCACAGCTGTGACAGCGATGGGCTCGCCCTCACTGGCCCTCAGTCACTTGTGCTGCGGCTTGTGTGAGCGACACTGCTCGACGACTGCCGGCACACTGTGAGAGCATGGGTGTGAGGTAAAACCACGCTACCAGCGCTTGGTCACATCAGCCCTGAGGTCATACCCTTCTCCTCTGTTGATGGTAACACTTGTCTACTCGCTGGAGCCGAGCAGAAGGGCTTGGCGCACAACCCCTGTGCAACTCAGGGTCCTTCCCCCTTATCTTGGAAGGCAACGGCGGCGGAGGCGGAGCCGCTCTCGGAGCGCCGCCCGAGCCGAGCAGGAGGCCGCGGGCGTAAAACTCGAGGTCCATCTCCGCCGCACCCTTGACGCGGACGGACGACGGCGCCTCTGCGGCGAACGCTAGTGCTGCGGGTGCCGGCAAGAGAGGCAGCAGCCCGACTCAGGAGCTGGCGGCGAGTGGCGGCGGGCGGCGACGGCAGGCTGAAAGCAGCCAGCAAGCTCAGGAGCCACATCAAGGCTAGCGATGGTCGAGCGAGGCCGAGCTGGGTACCCACCTATTGTAGGGCGTTTTGGCGCGAGTCAGAGGCAACAGACCCCCTATGGAGCCGGAACCCTGACGTGACCCCAAAAGAATTCAACGACACCAGCTGACAAAAAGAATTCGATCAGCTACATACAGCACTCAATGAAGCTGAGTATCCTGCTGCCGATCGCCGTGCGCGCGTTCTCGACGACGCCCGACATCAACGAGTGCAATGGGTAGTACCCTGCCGATCCGGCGACGTCCCGCTACGACTACTCGGAAGACGGGACCGCCTGTGCGGTGGTCTCAAGCGAGCCCTAGTGGGGCGGGCTGCCGCCTTGCCAGTGCGAGTCGTGTGGCTGCACCGCGGATTGCTGCAAGGTCGAGATGCCGGATCCGGACGCCGAGATGTGCAACGGTGCGTCGCTGCCCAAGCCGCTATCGGACTTCCGTTCTCGGTTGAAGCGTAATTATGCATATGCGGATCTGCTCGCGTCCTACTAGGTGTCTCGTACCCGGACTCCACCGACCTCAACACGAACTACGAGTACGAAAACGACGGCTCGGGCCTAAACAAACAGACAAGACATCGCCCGCTGCTAGTGAACACAATCGGTTCCTACAAGACATCACTCCGCTACTGCTAGTGAACACAACTGCAGGATGCCCCCTCTACTCGGAGCTAGTGGACATTGCACTGTACACCACGAACAAACAGACACTTGCTTAGTCCCCGGTCCCGGGGTTCCACCGTCCGTCCTCCCGGGGCTCCGGTTCTCCCCGATTCGCTTGGGAGCATGCCAGTTGGCCACGGCAGCGTTCTATTTGTCGCTCTTGACGGAAGGCGGCCGCCGTCTTAAACAAATAGCCTAACGAGGAAATAGACGGCTGCGCCGCCAAGAAGCAGGGCAGCGATCGTACCGCCGATGATGATGCCAAGCATGGCGCCGTTACCGGCGTCGGCGAAGAAGGGAGGAGGGCTTGGCGAAAGCAGCGGAGGTGCTGACCACGGCGCTGCGGGTGGCGAGCCAGCCGTGAGCTCCAGCGAATCTCGCAGCTCATAAGAGTTGAGCTGTCGGCACGCATCGACCACTAGAGATCGGGTGCAATCGTTTGCAAGTGCAGCGGCGTTGCCTTGGGCGCACGCGTAGCACTGGTCAGTGTTGCCCCACGTCGGGCATGCGCCGAGAAGCGCGTGGCCACATTCACGCGCTTGGCCTTCTGACGGCATTTTGCACTGGTCGCGAACGAACTGCGCCGAGCACACTGCATCGTAGAGCGCGCTTTGCTCTGCCGCAGCGATGTCCAGACACGTCTCCTCGGTGATCCAGGGGGCGACAAGCTCGTCGAGCGCCGCGAGGCACGATTCGACATTGAGAGGTGGCGGCGGCGGCAGTGGTGGCAACGGGGCCGTCGGCGGGCTTGTCGGTGGGCGCGGCGGTGCTGTGTAGCAGGCACTACTCCCGCAAACACTCCCGGCATCGTAGGCGCCCAAAAGAGACGCCGCGACCGAGCAGACGTCGGTCATGTACCCGGTGAACAGGGCGGCGATGGCAGGGTCGCCACATCCCACGTGGTAGATGCGATCCAGCCAAACCAACGAGGCTGTGTCCTTGAGGATGTCGCCTCCGTGTCCCTTGTAGTCTGTGAAAAGAGAGGTTGCGGCGAGGCCGGTCATGGCGGTCACGTCGGGAACGCTGCCTGCGCTCTGCAAGATACGGAGCTCGACAACCGACAGCCCGTAGGGGTTGTCGATGATCGTGACATTCGGGTACTTGCCGCGGAGCTCCTCCAAGAAGTCCGTCCAGTTGGTTTGCGCCGCGTTACGCACCACGGATGTGTAGCTGTCGGTGTCGTACTCGGTCGGATAATCTAGCCATGGGAGGCCGATCATGAACGTGTTGAGATTCGGGTTCTTTGAAAGCGCAAAGTTGAACCAGAGCTCGCAACCCTCAGCCGTGTGGTCGAATGTCATGCCGAAGAGCGTAATGTTGCCCCAGTCAAGGATAGACTGAATCTCATCCCGCATGGAGTCCGAGTTCCAGAGAGCCAATGGCGCACCTGTTGCGCCGCCGCTAAACACGATGGCTTGACTGTGGTTCAGTCCGGCAGCCGAGGCTAGCGCTGGCATCTTCTCCGCGAATAGGACGGAAGAAGCTGTGCCCGATGAACAAGGAGTTGTACGCGGCAGCATGCTCGTAGAGAATGCTCATGGTGGCGATGACAACCGCGCTCGGTGCCCGCATGCGTGCGTGCGTTGATCTGTGCGCTGCGGTCGCACCGTATCAGGCCGGTCCGGCAGTGAGAGGTGAGAGCGTGAGAGGCCGGTTCGGAACTAACAGAAAGCGAGCGGCAAAACTCCCGAGACCTCGATAGTAACAACGGCGTCTCAGAACGAGGCCGAGGAGAGCGATGAGTCAGAGGAAGAGACAGCAGGAGAGAGAACGACGAGAGTGGGAAGAACGCGAGGTGGCATGAAGGTCGCTGCGAGAATTGCTGCACCCTCTGAGCTTCTTCACGGCCGGGACGCGTCGGCGGCTCGCTGCACGCTGGTCCTCACTCGCTGCGCCCGAGAGTGGTTGCGCAAGTTAATGCCGCCGATTCGTGTCTGAGGATAAGGCGAAGGCGCGGGGCGGGGGGCGTCTTCATCAATACAACACAGTTGAACCCCTCGCGCCGTGCTCTCACTCTCTCGCGACCCAATCCCAAAGTGGTTGCTCGCTGGTTGTTTTCCGGTTTTGGTTTTTGCGGATCGCTTACCCTCACGAGATCTGACCTCGGGGCCGATGTGACGCTCCTGTACGAACCTTCCGCCCACGCTCCAAGCCGTTCTTCCATATCGTCTAGCTCTCGACACTGCTCTAGTGGCCGCCCCTAGGTCTCTCGCGAGCCGTGCAACGCGGGACCCAGATCTCTCCCCTCACAGGCCCAGCCCGTCCGAGACGTAGAAGAAGAGGTAGCCGTTGGTCACCGCGGTCGCGTGGGGTCCGACCGCCGTGGCCGGCGTGATCCTGTCACGACGCGTGCCGCGTGAGCGAATGCCACTCGGAGGGCGCGGGCGGGGATGTGGCGTGGCGGGGACATGGCCGCGCGCCTCGTGACGGCAGTGTCGTCGTAGCGCTCCCAGTACTCCGCTGCGCCGCGCGCGCGCTGCACGTCGGCGAGGTAGTGGCCGAACGAGGCGTCGCCTGTCCAAAGGGCGGGCTCGTCGGGCTCGCGCGGGAGCGACGGCGGACTCGGGCGCGGGTGATCTCGGGTGATCTCGGGTGTTCCTGCCCCACGCAGCTGCACAGTGTGGGGGGGGATCTCAGGCAGCGGGCGCCACCACGGCCCTCACCGGCCGCGACTAGCGAGATCGGCTATTCAGCACTGCTCGTGAGGATTCTCTCTTCTTGTCAGGGGCGTCGGCGCACCGCCACGGTGCCACACCACGGCCCGCAGGCTGTACGTCGTCGCCTGCGTATAGGGGTGGGGTGGCGTCGGCATACGCAGCAGACACGCGGGGGCCGGGGGGCGAGGGGCGAGGGAGGGGAGGGGGGGGGGGAGGGTCGCAGCCAACACCTTGCCGAGCTTTGCCGCCGCGCGCCGCGCCGCCAACACCTCGGCGTCCGAGCGCTGCGGTGGCGGCGGCAACGTGACGGCGGCAGGAGCGGCGGCGGGAGTGGCGGCGGCGGGGGAGGCGGCGGCGGGAGCGGCGGCGGCGGGGGAGGCGCCCGTGGTGGAGGCGCCGTTGCCGGTGCCGGTGCCGGTCGGGCTGGCGGCAGCGGGGCTGGGACCATTGCCGTCGGCGGGGGACGCGACCGGAAGCACGGCGGGGGAAGCGTGGGACGGGGCGGCGGGGGTGGCGGCGGGGGTGGCGGCGGGGGTGGCGGCGGGGGTGGCGGCAGGGGTGGCGGCGGGCGTGGAGGCGGAGGCGATCGGCGTGGCGGCGGGCGGCGCCGTCGCACGCGGCGTCGGCGAGTCCAGGTCGACGGGGTTGGCCTCGCAGCCGTCGGGGCCGCCACCCGCCTCAGGGCCGCCCGAGGCAGCGGCAGCGGAGCTGGCGGTGCCGGCTGCGAGGGCGTGAGGGTGTGTGGTGAGGAGCGTGGGTGGATACCGGCAGGGTGGTTGGCCCCAGCGCGCCGTGGCTTGTGCGAGCTACTGCGGGGAGTGTATCTGAGGCGTGTGGGCGTGTCTACAGGCACGCCGAGGAGCGAGCACGCGCCGACGCCCGCGGCCTGCGCCGCAAACTGCGCCCGCAGAGCGGCGAGCGCCGAGGGGAGGCTGTGCCCGTTGTCTTCGAGCGCGCGGATCACGCGCTCGCGGCTCAGCCCGCCCGCGGGCGCCACCATCCGCTGCAGCTTGCCCACCCTGCTCTCCAGACCGTCCGTGCTGCGCCGCAAGCCCGCCCCGTCGGCGGCGTCGGCAGCGGACGCCTCCGCGGGCGGCACGGGCCCGCGCGCGGGCGAGCGCGCCTCGCCCTCCGGAGAAGCGTCGGGCGCCGCACCCCCGCGCACGTCGGCAAGTGACGCGGCGATCGCGGCGTCCAGCTGCTCCTGCTCCTCCTGCTCCTCCTGCTCGCGGCTGCGCTTGCGGCGGCCATTGCCACGGCCCGTGCCGCCCACCGCCGCGGCCTCCTGGCGGGGCGCCGAGCAGCCGGTGAGGGGTCGGGTTCCCTGGGGGGTGGGGTACCCTACGCGGCGCCCAAGACCGAACCCCAGCCCTCGGCGCGGGCGCGCAGCGAGAGAGAGCGAGTGCGAGAGCGAGAGCGAGAGCGAGGGAGAGAGCGAGGGAGGGAGGGAGGGAGCGAGGGAGAGAGAGAGAGAGAGAGCGAGCGAGCGAGCGAGAGAGAGAGAGAGAGAGGTAGAGAGAGGCGAGGGAGAGAGCCGCGAGGCGTTACGCTGCGAGGGTGAGGTCCGAGAGGCGAGGGGCGGGGGCGGCCGAGGGGCCGCCGGGTCGGGCGGGAGGAGGAGAGGCATAGCCGGCAGTCGGGAGGGGCAAGGCTCCGGCTCCTGGACAGAGGAGACGTCCCACGTAGAGACGTCGTCGTCGTCGAGGGGGATGACGCCGGCCGGCGGCCGCCACTGCTGCCCTCCCCCCGGCGCGGCGGCGGCCGACAGCGACGCTGCGAGCGCGGCGTCCAGCATCGCCCGCTCCGCCTCCGCAGACGTCGGCGCGCCGTGGCGTCCGCCGCGCTGGTGGTGCCCGCCTCCTCCGCGCTGGAACTCCGCGCCTCGGTGGCCCACTGCGCCGCCGCCGCCGCCGCCGCCACTCCCGCCCCCGCCGCCGCCGCCGCCGCCGCCGTGCGGGGACGGCCCCGTGATTGCGAGGGAGCGCTTCCTGCCGTGCTCCGCCCCGCCGCCCGTCGCCGGCGT